ATGGCCATTATCATAGGATATCTTCCAGTCTACGTACCCACTTGCGAAGTAGCATCTCATAGCTCATCTCTCTTCCGCCTTTGTCCACTTCCTTCCTGTTGTGCTGGTGTCTCCTGCGCCTGCGCCTCATCACGCTTCGCACTCTCCACATCCTCCTCCCACATTTTCTTCTTGGGATTCCTCGGCTTATCGCTCTCTTGCAATACAGTCCCGTCGCCTAGTGTGACCGGTCCCTCGTCTTCATCCTTCCTCGGTTGTCTGAACTGAGGGTGATCAGGCACTTCCTCCTGCTGCTGTTGTTGATTTTGTTCCGCCATCTTACCTACTTGTTGCGAGTATGAGCCTTGTGGACTAGGATCTTGTCCTTGTCGATTCACTCCTCCTCCACGACCGACAGGTATGTAGTGTCCTTGGGCGTTGGGTTCGCGTCGGGGTATGCCACCTGTTGCGCTAGGCTGAACGATGAGGGTTCTTGAAGACGATGATACCGCGACGCTCGAGGATGCGGCTGTGGATGCGGCACCGAAGGGTAGGACGGCGAAAAGGATGCGAAAGGTAAGTTTCACTGGCCAGATGATGAACCAGGTGAGCGGTCCGTATAACCAGCGGCGAAAGACGAGCCAGATGATAGTTGTTATGAGGATGTAGAAGGTGGTCTCAAGATACCACGTGTCGCTCTTTGTGCTCTTCAGTAGCGTCGAGACCAAGTTCTTGCTGTTGGCTAGTAGGGTGTTTAGGTCTGAGTACTGCTCCCCGAGGTCTTGTAGTGCGGCGTTGGTCTGTTCGAGCGTTTCTTGTGCGAATCGTGAGCGCGATAGTTCGTCTTTCATCAACTGGGCGGTCCGGCGCAGAGCAGATGTGACGTCTGAAGAGGCCTGCGCGACGACTTCGCCTTCCGATAGCCCTTGTTGTTGCTTTCTCTGGCGATATGTGGAAGATGGAGTGGAGGAGCCTGATTGTAGGTTGGAGAAGAGGAGTTCGCGCTCTTTCAGCTTTGCGCGGTCGGCGTTGTGCTTGGCTGTGAGTTGCGCTTTCCGATATTGCGATCGCGATCTGCAGGAATACCGGGTTAGCATGCCATGCTGAAGGAAATGACAAGGGAGAGTATGCATCACTCACAACTTTAAGTCCTCGGTCAATCTTGCAAGTAGCACAGCAAGTCTACTCCTCTCGCTGTCCTTGCTGCTATCCCGCCTTCTTCCTGTGATGCCCCCTTGTGACGTAACGTCCTCGACCTCTTGCCTCAGGAGTTCAAGTTCCTCCTCGATGCCCTTCAGAGTCTCGTGTATCTCGGCACTGAGTTCCAACCTCACGTCGCCCTCGTCGGAATTGTCGAGTGGCTGCGAACCTGGCTGGAAGTCTAGCTTGGCTAGTCGTTGGATAAGTTGGCCGACACCTTTGTTGGCTTCGGAAAGGGCGCTTAGGCGGGTGGTGAGAGTATGCGTGGTGGAGGGGAGAGGTGCCATGGTGGCTCGGAATGCGGAGAGAGTTTGGTCGATGTATGCAGATGGCCTATGACGGAGATGGCTACGGTGGGCCGTTTGGCGGGGTGTGAGAGCGCAGCGTGTCTGGACGGCTAGCCGTAGCGTGGCCCGCAGAGAATCTTGAGCACAGACATATCGCGAAGAGGTTGCGACGAGCGTGGGACGTCAATTGCAGCGCATTCCCGAATCACCGCCTATTGGTAAGTATCTGCATCTGTTCATCATGTGTATCCTCTAACAAGCCATAGTCTGCATCGCCGACTCCTTCGTGCTCCACCGTCGCAATGATCACCAGATTCCTGACCGACGTCCGCGTTACCTTCAATCCCTTCTCCCCGCGCTCGAAGCCCGCCCGCCTCTTCCTCTCGTTAATACCACCGAATGCACGTGCAGATGGCATGAAGATTGAGTCAAAGATGCTGCCACGAGACAGCAAAGAGCCTGCCAGTTTGGGCGTCAAGTTCAGTACGTACACTTTCGGTGCACCTTGAGCAAATGCTAACATCCGCGTAGAGGATGGCAAGGAGATGAACCTCGACCTCAGCAACATGCGCATAACACAAGTCGTCGAAGAAGTGGATAGACATTCACGGTCATTGGCGCGTAAGGACGAGTTGGCAGGCAACTGAGCGTTCAGCATAAGGACATGAATGTTTATATGTATCAAGACACAGAGCATCAGTCGGCGTCACGGCAATATTATGGGTTGGGCTGAGACGAGGCATTGATGATATTCCTCATGGGTCCATATACCGTCGTTGGTCGGCGTTAATCATGCACGTTTATCTATCATCTACAGTCATTCCCATGCTCCAATGATATCCAGACTTTTGTGCTCATCACGGCGCCCGTTATATCTAGTTGGACGGGGCACCGGAGATGTAGAACCACTTGTCGATGCTGCCATCGATGGGAGCAGGTGCCTTGTTCTCGCCCTGGGGAACGTTGAGCGAGCTGGCATCGGTGCGGTCGGGAGAGTGCGAGACGGTGGTGTTGGTGCTGGAGCTTCGTCAGTACAAATCATTCACGGTAGGCTGGCCACCACTCACAGGCTGATCTCGTCCTTGGGGGTCTTGCCAGTGACAAGCTTCTCCCAGGCCTCGGCACACTCGCGGACAATGTCCATGGCGTACTTCTTGTTCTTGCACTCGCCGGAGAAGGCGAACTGGTTCTCGGGCTTGCCGTCTGGGATCTTGTAGATACGGAACCACTCGTTTGTGGCGCGGAGAAGGCCGGGCAGGTGGCGCTCGACGTCCTCAACGTCGTTGAGCTTAGGGGCCAACGGGTCGTTGACGTTGATGACCATGATCTTCCAGTCGGTCTCGCCCTCGTCGAGCAGAGCCATGACACCGAGGACCTTGACCTGGATGACCTCACCAGGCTTGGCAACAAGCTCGCCAATCTCGCAGACGTCCAATGGGTCGTTGTCACCCTTGGCCTTGGTCTCCTGGTGGACAACGTTGGGGTCCTCCCAAGTCTGCACAGCATCAGCATTGGTGTATTGTCCGATGTCGGGGTCGCGTCAGCGTACCTGAGGGAAGGCACCGTAGTTCCACAGGTAGCCCTTGTGGGGGAAGCAGTTGCGCACGAAGCGGAGCTTGCCTTTCTTGGTGTCCTGCTTGATGGGGTTGAGCTGCTCCTCCTTGGAGATCTGTAGCGACAGTCAGCGTCTTTCGTTTCGCGCAGCCGTACACAGGCCACGGCGCAGCCAATTGGGGCCGACGCACCTCCATCTTCGCGTTGGTCCAGCGGGGCACCTCAACAACCATGTTGAGGATGGTCTGCTGCTCGTTGGCGTAGAGCGGGATGTCGTGCCATGGCGAGACGAGCTGGCCGTCCTTCTCGATGTACACGCGGTGCTCGAGGGTGTTGGCGGCGCCAACCTTGCGGGTGGTGTAAGACATAGTGGATGGGGTCTTCGTGGCAGCTGTGTGGATGGCTGTGGAAGAAGAAGCTGTGGAGTTGAGATGGCCTGCAAGTAGACGAGCCCTAGAGTTGATTTTGTCGTTGAGGGGTCTACTAGTGGGGCTCGCAGGCGGGGAGCTGTGTTGGGAAGGCGCCACTGTGACGAACGTCACCGCCGACTGTCTGCATGGGACAGCCGTCGCGGTAGGGAAGGGGAGCTTCGACCGGGTGATCAATCTCTGGGCGGGACAGAGCCGCAACAACGATTGATGGATGAGCATGCAGATGGCACCCGTTTAGTAAACTACCAGATGGAAGCGCAGCCGATTCTCCTCTCATGCGAAGCCCAGACCGAGGATCAGAAAACGTCCGCAAGGTACGGGAGCGGAGACCGGAAGCTCCAACTTTTTATGCACGGACACCGAGGCAGCTTGTCGCTATCGATTTCTGAGCTTCGTCAAATTGCCATGAATCAGATTGCAGTCACATGTCTTTCCTCATCATTTGAGCTTCTTGGGATAACTGCAGGCTTCACGTCTCGCTATTCGGGACCTCTTCTAATCACGAAAAAAGAAAGTCGCCGCTAACGCGCTATGTGGCTGCCAGCCAGCCACCCACCTCAATATCAGTACAGTTTATTCGGCCGCCAAAATCCTGGAGCCACCGTATCGTTTTCTGGTCTCGAATCCTGAACCAGCTCAATTTCAGTTCCGGCGTGCGCTTCGATACCGCCGTATATGTCAGGATCACCATCAAGGCTATACGACAGGGGCTCGTCTAAAAGCCCTCCCCAGTCCTCATCATCATGCTCCATCCGGTCATCGTATTCCATTTGATTCCCTTGATCTAGGTAGTTTTCCTCGAAATGGTAGGAACTTTGGAGAGGTTCTTCTTCGCGATCCCATTGCATATGATGTCGCTGACGCTGTGCTTGTTGTTCGTAGATGCTCGGGCCAGCAAAATTTGGCATCACCGGTCCATGATGAGACTGATCCGCGAAGCGTACACTGGGACCCTGCTGAGCTGCATGATAAGTGTCTCTCGTACTCTGCCGCAGGTTCGACTGTGGATACGATGGGTGCGCCTCCTCGGTATGTCTCCTCCGCGACCCTGTGGCCAGACGTCGTTCGTAGAAGGTATCGTTGCAATGCCGCAAAACCACCCCCAAGTCAGAAGATGTCGGTAATCTTCCTTCTCCAGCAGGACTGTATTCACTATGCTGGTTCTCCAGTCCATACCCTGATGGAGCAGTCATCCCCGAGACTGGAGTCGAGTCTGATCGATGATTCTTCGAGGAGCTGGGTAGCTGTGTACGATGCGTGTCCATAGCATGTCTGGGCGCAGACGGTGGCATTGACGATGGCGAACAAACATTGTCAGCCGCGCGTGGGTTCGCAGATCGATCGACGAGGTTGGGTCGTCGCGGGGACGAAGTGTGTTGCGGAAAGGACTGTGATCTCGAAGCTCTGCCATGTGATGGAGCCAATGACGAAACCCTGAAGCGCTCGGCAGGCGTACTATCGGTTCTTTCTTTTGTCACTGGAGGGGGTCGGGCTGGTAGTTTGAAGCTACTCTCATTTGCATTTCTGGTCTCGAGCTCACCATGAAAGTCTACATCGCGCGAACTGGTACGTATGTGAGATATGTGAGGGCGTGCGGGCGCCGTGCTAGGCGCTCGAATTGACTCTGACCAAGAAACGTAGCTATTGCTTTCATGGCGAGGGCCTCTACTTCCAAAACCTAAATATGAGGCTTGGCCTGTAGCCTCAACAGTAGGTATAGCAATGTCATCTACCGAGGATTGATCACGACGACGCCGCTTAGTCTTTGGTACAGGATGCTGCGGTAGGATGTTCGTGTCCTTGTCGACTAATGCCGGTCGCGCTGAGGTAAAGAAAGCGGAGATCTCTCCTTCCTTCATCTGTTCATTGTCCTTCTTGCGTTTCTTTTTGGACGCGTCGGATCGAGGGACAGGCTCTGGTTCGTCTTTGTGCTGTTGCAAGAACTTCATCTCCGAGAAGACCAGATCGGGCACTGCGACACGTCAGCTGGGTAATGCGGGGAAGACGTACAGGAAGATATCATTCAGGCTATAGGAAGGGGAATGAATTACTCACACCCGCGGCCCTTGATTGCAGTAGATGTCCGTCCCTTGTTGAAGAGGCCTAGCTGCTCCCGTGGCTTCAACTAGTCCAATCGTTAACACCATACTGTATGTTCCAGGCGACCGCATTGACGTCTTACGGTCAGCCGATCCCCAGATATGTTCGTGGCCTGGAAGGTCTGCATAACACCAGGTGCCTTCTCGCCGTTCTTGCGTCGAGGCTTGCGTCGCGACTTCTTTGATTTGTCCTTACGGTCGCGATGGGCATGGGAACCTGGCGCATACTGTGGCTCATACCGCTCTGGACGCGTCTTTCTACGAGGTTTGCGCGCATATCGACTGCTGCTAGAGCTGTCGCTGCATGTCGCCTGGAGCGCCTCGTCAGCACTATCCTCCGCTGGCTTATGCGGAGAGGATGCAGGCGGACGGGGATCGAGGAGGGAGCTGTCTGATCTGCGGCGGCGCTTCCGTTTAGCAGGCTCTGCGGTCTGATGAAGGTTATTGGGCTCGCGCGGTGCTTCCGGTTGCACTGTCTCGTCTAGCCACTTTCGTATGTCCATGCTGTCCTGCATCCTAGACGAGCCGTGCCGTTAACGGAGTCTGGTTCGCCTCGCAAGTCTGGTGGGTCTGAGATGTTCGAGGGGCCAGACGGTGCTGGGATACGGAGTGGATGAGCAGATCGTCGTGATAGTCGCTCAGTTGCTTGTGTGACGGTAATCTGGGAGACGTTCAAGGTGACAAGGTCTCATCTGGATGTTGCAACTACCTGATAGGCTACGTCAGATAGCTAGACAGAGTGATGGCAGGTGCAATGGGTGCTGCCATTGTGAGGCTGCCGGCATCGCCGAAGTCACTGCATTGCTGGAGGAAGGCACGATGCATTGATGACGCCAGTGCATCGTCAACCCTTCAACCTTCACGGTGTGGAAATGAGGCCATGTGTGTCGTGTCTGTTCCTCTCCTTACTTCGATTCGGGCTGCAAGATGCTCATATCATTGGATGGATGGTATTGCCATAGAATCGGTCCCCGAGAGCGAGACGTCTTGGCACCGTGCATCGTGCTGCCGCATGCGCTGTGCCGCTATCGCAGGGAAATGGCTGCGATGGCTTCTCGTCGCCGACTTGCTTGGAGATACGCAGAACGAACACAGATGGATCGGTTCAGTCCGCGCTGCCTCGGTATATCTCGGTAAACACTGCCGATTTGCCCGCTTTCTGTATCCGATGGTGACGACTGTGTAGTATGTGATTGATGGAGCATTTTGGCCTGTCTCAGCGCAATGGACTTCGGTCGTATAGGTGCGAGCAGTCGTCTCATTAAGCACGCTCAGCTTGCTACATCTTGACGTCGCGCGCACGAGCCATTTCGGGATGCAGAGCCCTGGAGGGCCTGGAAGTTAGTTAGACCCGATCCCCACACCGTCAGACTAAGGATGGCGACTTTGATAAGCTTCTTTGAACCACCATCGTCTGTCCAATACCTGTCCGCCATTGACCTTTTCGTCACAGCCCGATAGTCTTGCTGTAGCCACGGGCGCAGATCGCTGCTGTCTCGAGCACGCAATCTGTCTATCCGCAGGCTTGTCCATGCACGTATTTCGCAGTGGCCCAATGACGCCGCCGCACTCCTGCCGGCACTCTGAGGAGGACGATGGATCGATGCACCTATCAAAAAAATCGTTTTCTCTGGCTCGTCAAGGGCCCTGCAATTGGGCCTCCCCGGTCTCAGGCTAACGTGGGCTGCATATACCCAGCATGAACAGACAGACACGGGACAGGCTAGGGAGCCAGCCAGCCGACATGTATGGCAGAACCAGTATCTGCACCCTGTCCATCGTCAGGTGCGGGCTCCTAGACAAGGCATTGGGACCGGCTAGCTGCGAGGGGCCAGTTCCGTTTGCCTGCCTGCAGCCCAGGTCCGAACTACCAGACCCCTTGGCTTGACTGGCTCGACTGGCTGGAGAGACACATTGCACCCCGTCGCTCGTGGCCATCCACGTCGCTTTATAAACCGGGCCCTCAGCCCTCCAGTCCGTGCGCGCAACCTATTACTTGCTTGCAGCCTAGCGCTCTTTCACCTGGTGGAGGGGTACTCATATCGTCGCTTGCCCCGCCAACCTAGACGCTTCACTATCTCTGCTCCTCACCCTGTGCCATCACTTTCTTGCGACAGCCTGCAGCCGACTCTCCCTCCTCTAACTCTTCAGAGCAATCGCTTGCGCCATCATCACCAATACAGCCTGGTGCTACAAGATCAAATGTTCGTTCCGTCACGTTGCTACATACTGCCTGCCCGGGAAGCCGCGATGGATTCCTCGCCTTCCTGCACTTTTCCTTCACTCTACAACTCCTGTCACTACCTGTCTTGAGCTTCCTTGTATCGCGCGCCTTGTTTCGAGTTGCGAGAGCTAGTATTGAGACCGTTCAGTGTTCGACCCAGACATCACTCTCACCATGTCTAAGCTCTTCATTGGGTAAGTACGCAGCCTTCCCATACCGCGACCGCGACTGACCCTGAACAGAGGCCTCGCATGGCACACCGACGACCAAGCTCTCCGTCAAAAGTTCGAGGAGTTCGGTCAAGTCGAAGAAGCCGTAAGTGACACGCTACTCGACGAATGTCGTCGCCAAGGTCGAGTCAATGCTCACATCGTCACAGGTCGTGGTTAAGGACCGCGATACTGGCCGCAGCCGAGGCTTTGGCTTTGTTCGCTATGCCCAGGACACCGAGGCCGATGCCGCTATGCAGGCCATGAACAACGAGGAGTACGTCTTTTCTGCCTTCACGTACCATCCAACAGTGGACACTGCTGACTCTCCTAGATTCGACGGACGTAGGATTCGCGTCGACAAGGCCTCCGACCGCGCTGGCGGTGGTGCTCCTCGCGGCGGCGGCTACGGAGGCGGTGGCGGCGGATACCGTGGAGGTTACGGCGGTGGTCAAGGAGGAGGTAAGCTTCACTGAGCCTACCCATTACGGTTCTATACTAACTATATCCCCAGGCTACGGTGGCGGCGACCGTGGTAAGCACATGTCACCGTTCTATTCACAGTGAGAAACTAACTTGGTAAAAAGGCTACGGCGGCGGCGGCCAGGGCGGCGGCTCTTGGGGACCTTCTCAAGGCGGCGGCGGCGGCGGATACCAGTCTCGCGGCGGCTACGGTGGCGGTCAGGGCGGCGGCCAGGGCGGTTACGGTGGTGGTCAAGAGGGTGGCCAAGGTGGTGGCCAGCAATGGTAAACACCTCGGCGGACCCACGTCCTACAGTCCTGTGCTCTCAGAATGACCAAAGGTACGAACTTCCTAGTTGAGGGCAAGAACGCTCCTGGGATTGGAGTTGGCTTTACACGATGGAGATCTTTTGGACGTTAGCCGACACTGCTCCTCCTCGAATGAGCATCATCATTCACATGGACGTTTCATATCATGTTTAATGGCAGTAGAGGTGGTTGGTACTGAGAGATGAGATACCCATTGAATCAGGAGGTGCTGCTACTCTGTACTTGTCGCGCTATGAGGGTTCCTGTTCTTTGTGCACTTTCCTTACGGGCTCTTCGTAGTCATGGTGGCTTGCTACCTACCCAAAAGCTGTGTCATTCCAATGTAACCTTGAACTATACCAAGAGACATGTCAGCAAAAAGCAGATTACACCGCATTCCAAAAGCAAGCATGCTGACTCACATTCGCCTCGCAAACGGTTACAACAGCCGGATCGGTGCCCCTTCCTGAGGATCAATGAGATCACATTACCGCTGTTGCGATGAGGCTCTGCGGTCTCTAACGGGTCCCTCCACAAGACGCAGGTTCGTGGCGATGCCAATTCTCCTCACCACCCAACACATGAGATAATCTCGACGGCAACTAACCCATTACTTAATCGCACGCACTAGTCTCGCTTTCAGCACATGGAAAATTCAGCAGCCAAGGCAGCGCATTGTGACCACATCTGCATATTGCATACATAGCCGCCGGCCAGTCCTGCTGCAGCTGCAGCACCAACGCAGAGTAGAAAGGCAGGTTTCTGCAAGCGATAGCTGGGCTGTCTGCGGGGAGTCAGGCGCACTCCGTGCTGCGTTTTGTATAGTCCTCGCGCACACACTTCCGCATCCTCGAGTGCTTTGCTGCTGCCTGAGGTGATCTTCACTTTTGGCGTCAGGCGCCAGGATGCGACGTCGAATGTCTTGGGCTGAGGATGCACGCTGACAGACGACCCCTCCACACCCGTCTTCTACTATTCAACGACTCGCGGATATCCAATACTTCATCGCATTTATTTTGCTTGTTCTTCAGCCGGCTGGAACGACTTCGAGTACATCATGAAGAGTTGGAACGGGCTGGAGGATGCGACGGCGCCGGTCAAGCCTGGACGGACCCCGACGCGGTGGCGCGCACTGCTTTCTGCGACCTTCGTCACACTCGTGTGCCTCGCGGCAGTGGATACCATCTTCCCTGAATTGAAGAACTGGGATCTGTCCTCATTTCTAGACATTGAGCCTGCGTTGCATGATGCTGCCTTTGAGTGGTCCGAGGTATGTTGAGAGAGTGTTCCCTGAGCGTCGCACCGCACACGTGGTTCTGCAGCCACCCTGGCCCGCATCTTATCAGATCGAATGATAGCCTCGATCCAAGTCGCACAGCAGGTGGTTACTCTACTTCCGGGAGATGTCTTGGGCGCATGCCGGAGCACCACAGACGACCTTCGTCATCAAAAGGCTCAATGAAAAATCTGATCGTGATTGGTGGCCTGACCAGATCCCATTCCGGTTCACCAGCATGTCGCTCGGACCCAAGTCCCAGCACCGTATCAACACAAGCGAACCGCAGCTCTCTACAATCTAGTCTAACAAGCCTGCTTCAGCATCATAATATCGACTGGTGGATGCAAGACTGACCAAGCTCCAGATCACACCGAGTGAGCATCTAGAATTCCACAAATGCTTTGGTCAATTTGAATGCGCAAAACTGAGCCTGCCACTGGACTACTACAACGGGACCTACCCTGATCATACTGTGAGCATCGCTATCGTCAAGCTACCCGCCAAAGTATCCGTGGATGATCCCCGCTATGGTGGCCCGGTCTTGTTCAACCCTGGCGGTCCCGGAGGATCAGGTACAGCAGTTGCGCTCTTCCTAGCAGGAGGGCTACAGCAGATCATAGACTCTAACGTCGAGACTCTTACCCCATCTACCGACGCAAGATACTTCGACATCATCGGCTTTGACCCTCGCGGCATCGGTTGGACAGAGCCAGTCGCTCGATGCATGCCAGATCAGCCTTCTTCGTGGTCTTGGAGCCTGAGGGAAGAGACCGAGGGCCTTGTTGGAAGCTCGGATGCAGCTCTTGGCAGACTTTGGTCTATGCAACATGCCTTTGGCGCATCTTGTAAGCTTGCCGAGGAGAAACAAAAGGGACCGGATATCAAGCAGTACATGTCTACTGCCTTCGTCGCCAGAGACATGTTGGAGATCACCGAGAGGCATGCCGAATATGTGGCGAAAGAGATCGCTCAAAAAGCTGGACAGAAGGCTGGCAAGCGTCTTGGATGCCACCGCCCCACATATGTTCCCGGAGAAAGCAAGCTGCAGTACTTGGGCTTTTCTTACGGGACTTTCCTCGGATCTACATTCGCGTCCATGTTCCCGGACCGTGTTGGACGTATCATCCTCGATGGAGTCGTGAGTTCGTACGACTACACCCACTCGATGGGTAACGGAAGTCTTGTAGACGTCGAAAAGGCCATGACTTCTTTCTATACATTCTGCTACAATGTGGGTCCCAACAGATGTCCTCTAACCACCGCAAACTCAAGCGTTGTCGACATAGAGGAGCGCACACAAAATATTATCGCATCGCTATACCACAATCCGCTTCCCATTGTCTCGGCAGAAGGCCCAGAACTCCTCACTTGGTCCACCATCAAATTAATTCTCTTCAGCGCTACCTACCAGCCGCGCCTCACATTCGACTTCGTAGCCGCCAGCCTATTCGCCATTGAACAAGGGGTTGGTAGAGAAATCAACGACATCGCCGAAACCTTGCGCGACCACCACGTATTTTCCTGTCCTGTCGACGGCAGCGAGCCATTCGAACAGCCAACATCCCCCGTAGCCACTACAGCCGTTTTATGCAGCGACGGAATTGATCAAACCCATGTGACTAAAGAAGAATTCGCCGCATACTGGGATATCATGGACGAAGTTTCGCCAAACTTTGGTTCCTACTGGTCCATGCTACTGATGCAATGTGCCTCTTGGAAGATCAAAGCTAGCTACAAGTTTGACGGTCCTTGGGGTGCAAACACATCGCATCCTATCCTCTTTGTCAGCAATACAGCAGACCCGGTTACACCTCTTCGCAGCGGACGCTATATGCATAGTCTATTCCCTGGAAGCAGCCTTATGATTGGCGATCACGCGGGACATTGTTCGATGTCGGCACCTGACCCGTGCATCTTGAGTCGCGTGAACACGTACTTTCAGACGGGTGAGCTGCCATCGCCAGGGACGGTGTGTGTACCGCCACCCAGTGAGTACAGTCTCAACTCGACGGACCCGGATAGTCCTTTCTACGACCCTACTTTGGGAAGTGCAAATGTGGTTGCTATGGAGGAGGATGAGGAGAGTTGGATGCGGCTTCGCGATGCTGGTGAGTTGCTCCAGAAGCAGGCTGTTGCGAGTGGTATGTTTGATATAAACCTTCCGGGTGGTTCAAGGGCGAAGCGAGTCATGCGAAACATCGTGAAGGGTCGCTATTAGGGCTGGGAGTAGGTATGGTTTTATGGAGTTACTTTCCATTTCTATCCCGAAGTCCCAAGTGACTCATGTGGATATTGCTCATCCTTAACCCAGAACACGGCAACCGAGCTTCGGCGTCACGCACATTAGTCTGTATCTAAAACGAAATCATCAAAGAAGAAGTTACCCTACTCCTCATGATCAACCCCCATTCCGATATTCCTTCTCCAGATACTCCACCTCGAGGTCTTGATTTCCCACTTGTTTCCGGAATTCCTTCGTATACCAGTCATCAGCACCGGTCACTTGATACGGTGCCTCCGAAATAATCAGTGTTTCCAGTGCAGGAAATATCCGCAATGTACGCATGTTCTGTTCGATAGGCTCGCGGAGTCCCATGGCTGGATCTTCAGATTGAAAGGCATCCCAATCAATATCGATATGCCTAATCAACCTTAGCTGTAGCGGCGTACACCGCTTCCGGAGTTTCGAGAGGTCGGATAGGTCGAACTCGCGATGTATGAAGCGTGCAACAGGGTAGATGTGTACTGCGAAGTAGGCATGTGCGGTTTCGGCGAAGATGTGTCGTGATGCACGGGATAAATCGAGGCGGTCCCAGTAGAAATGGGAGTCATGTTTCCAACTCCTTGCGCTGAGGTCTAGGGCTATGTTGAATATCTTGTTGCGGATCTCAGCTGGCAGGTTCAAGAGAGGGGAATGAAGTTGATTGCGCTGAGCACTGTTGGCGGTCAGCATTTTATGCTCAGATGCGCACTATTTCTAGTGAGGTATGAAACTAACATTGCGAGACAATCGGCGCTTGGTACGAGAGTGGGTGGTCCTTTGCATTCGTTCATTTTGACAGCCTTAAAGGTTGGGAGGTAGGAGTTTCAGATCAGTCGAGTTGAAGTAAAGTTGTTAAGGAAGTTGAGAGCGTAGGTGGAAGAGGTGGTAGAGGTTCACATAGTATATATAAAGAAATGTGAGTCACGCCGCTAGTGCATGGATTGCCAGTCACGCATGATAAGGTGAACTATAGAGTACTATTTTTCGTCTTTTCATTCGTCCCCCCGCTTCCATGTTACCAGCACTACCTTTGAGTCAGCCGTAGTAGGATCGAGTTCGGTTCGCCTATGCATCGCGACCAACCTTCACGAACTCACACGCAGGAATCGACATATTGGCATCACTTTTTGGCATCCATCCTAAAGCGCCACATGCACCCTTCATCTTGCTGGGTCTCGATGGCTATGCATCCGGGACCCATTGCGGAGTGCTCAAGTCCTCATGCATGGTGTACGTGAACTCTAACCGCGGATTCTCCATCCAACCCCTAAGCCGAATCTCGCACAAAAGTCGAGGTCTCCTCTCTTCGGGTGCTCCAGAAATATGTAACCGCCTCAGCCCGCTGTGCGCAAATGGACAGTATTTGCCTGATTTTAGGCCCACTGCGTGATACCAGCTAAAAGTAAGGGCCTCCAGCATACGAAATTGAGATGGTGTGATCGGAAGTACGAGCCCTGATCTACGCGGCGGGAGTTTTACCACTGATAACGTAGCGTAGTGATATGGGAGGAGTCTCAGTTCGAAGTACGCCGCGGCGGTCTCAGCGAAGACCTCGCGCGAGGATCGAACAAAGAACATACGATCCCAAAAGTAGAGTTCTTCGTGATGCCACCGCCATATTTCCGTGGGCACGAGTTCGAGCGTGTAGGCGTAGATTTTGTTACGAACCTCAGCCGGTAAGCGCAGGAGAGGTGACTGGATTTTATTGCGTTGAGCGCTGTTGACTGTTAGCGCCTCTCTACTTAGAGAGTGAGGTAATGCGTGAGCAACGTCCTGTTCGATGAAATTATCCTTACATTGCGAGGCACTTCGCGTTAGGCACGAGAGTAGGCGGGCCTTTGACGTTGGGTGTGATGATGGGCGGTGCAACACCGTTGTTTACATACGCGTGATGGTAACGGGCCAACGTTGGGTCAAAGGGTTGAAGATTCAGGAACGACATTCTTAGTGTGGAGAATGTCGAAGGTGCAAGGTGACGGAAGGGTCAGGGGAAAAGCTCTGGATGTGAAGGCGCTAGTACTTTGTCAGTTAGTCACGCATTGAGGTTCCTAGGTAGCACAAAACACTGCTCAATTTCGCATATTAACCGCCCGCTCTGTTCTATTCACTATACATTGTACAGGGGGCTACCGTAAGTAATATACGAGGGTCTGCCGCTGTAGAGGTGATCAGTGGTTGTACGTGTTCTAGCTAGCCTCAGGAGGTAAATGCTGACTGGAAACTGCTTCACCCAACAGGCGGGTGGATATGCCAGCGCAGTGTTGAGCAGACTTCCAACCACCTCATATCAGGAGAAGTTTGAACAGGTTTGCAGCCTACATTAAGATGAAACCATACAAAGCAGACCTCGGGACTATCTAATGTCCACGTAGGCTCCAGAGTGTTCAATTCCTCTTTCATTCTGGATGAGGTGCAGTAGAAAAGGCTCGCTAGCTGGTAACCAGCACCCACCAAACGAAAACATATTCAAGCTGACAGCGTATTTACAGCCATACAACACGGCGCTCACCTTCCCTAAAGCTCCCTCATACTCGTAACCACCTTCTTCACACCACGCTTCTTCCCCGCCACTCGAGCCCTTACCCTCCGCCTAACATACTGCTCCCAAACCGCTTTACCGGCAAGACCTAACAGGAATGCCGCACCCATGATGATCAGCGTCCCGCCTACCACGTCAAAATCGGTAAGATCGTCCACGAAGGTCTTGTACACGAAGTACACTAGAAGGACAAATAATGAGATGATCACAATGGCGCCAAAGGTGGTCGACATATGGATGTTGTGCGTGAGAGGTGGTGATGGGAGTCCACTTGGTTGTATTGTATCTTGGTTGAGATAAAACGGATTCGTTGACGATGCGTGGCGGGTGCGGTGAACTTTATCATAAGAGTCGCGTTGTGTGGTTGTTCATGCAAAGCACATGCCGAAGTCACAGGTATGACAGCAAATATCATCTTAAACACATGAGCATGGCGAACAAGCTTGTGAACACAAACGTCGATATAACAAGAGACTACTATACAGCCAATCCAACTTCAAAACGCCCAGTCACGCCGCAACCCAATTTTGCGTGACAAATATGCACTCCAGATACGATCCCAAGCAATCCAACCATGCAAGTCAAAGCATCTACTCGTCATCCTCCTCCTCCTCACTATCCTCATCCATACCCTCCGCAGCCTCAACCTGGAAGCTAGGCGCCTGATCCACACCGAGATAGCTATCGCTAACCAGATAGCACGTCAACTCATGGCTACCCGGCTTCTCGAGCGTAAACTCAAGCACAGTCTCCAACTTCCTCAGAATAGGCACCTTCTTGATCGCAAGCAGTGTGTGTTCCTTCTGGTCACCCACAACCAGCCACCAGCTCTCCGTCTTATCGGCCGGGTAGAAGGGCGCGTGGACCTCCATCTTGGGCTCCTCGTCTTCCTCGATATTGCGCGTGATGCGCACCTTGAGTTGGGCGGGCGAGTTGGAAGCGATGGATTCGGGCTCGACGAGCTCGTGCTCGATTTCGATGTTGGGGTAGAAGTTGTTTGTGAAGTTTGCAATGTCGGCGAGTTGGCGTTGGTCGACGTCGAGTGCGGAGATGAGCTTCTTGTAGTCTGGGTTCTCGTCTTCGTCCATGGCGTTGATGAAGTCGTCGACGTCGTTGATGCCGAATTTTTGGGCGGCCTTGATGGTGTCGGCGTCGAAGTGGGGGATCTGCTTGAGAGGAGAGTCCTTCTGCCACATTGCTTGCACGACCATCTGGGAGAGTTCCATGGCGGACATGGCGTTGAGATGAGCCTCGGATGAGAGAACGTCGACACTTGCGCTGAGGATGTTGAGGACCTTTCGCAGGACGACTTCTTGGTCCTTGGCCAGGTCGACAGGGAGCTGCATGCGTGAGAAGTGAGCCTGCAGAAGAACGAAAGCCTTGAAATGCGGCGTCTCGAAGTTGGGCTCCTGCATCTTGAAGGGAACGCGGTCGTAAATGCGCTGGAGGATGTGGTCCTCGTGCCTCCGTATTTGAATGTCTTCGAATTCGGTGGCGGCTGTGATGATCTCAAGTACACCCTTGAGACTTGTCCTGCCATTGAGCGACATCATCAAGGTCTGCATGGTGATGAACGAGATGTTGTAGTACGCCGCGATCATGCACGGGTTCAGAGGTGTGATGGCATCCTCGTCTTCGTCGTGCTCGATGAGGTTGGCATCGGTCAGCTCCTTCAGGGTCGACTCAACCATGTCAGACAAGTGCGCGCTGAGTCCCTCGTGCGACGTGTCGTGGAGGTTGTAGTAGCTGGGGTTGGCGAGTAAACGGCGGTAGAAGTATGTGTATGTAGACCAATCGACAGCCTCTTGTGTTGACTCAATCGTCTTCGCGCTGATCTCGGCAACAAAGGCGTCGTGAAGGTAGTCGGGAAGGTAGCTCTCAATCGGAAGAGCCTCGTTAAGGAACTTCTTGTAGTACTCTCGCTTCACCGCAGGCAGCATAAGCACACCCTTCGCTGACTTGTCCAGTCCTACTCTGCCGGCCTTGCCGAACATCTGCAGGATATCGCTAATGGGATAGTCGACGTATCGATGTTCGCGGCCCTCGTAGAATTGAGTGCCTTGAACGATGACGAGATGAGCACCGCTGTCAATTTCCCAGCAAGAGTCGCGCGATACGATGAGCACCTGGATCGCGCCAACCTTAAATAGATGCTGAACAGCCTTCTTGTCGAAAGAGTTGAGGGCCTCGTGGAAATATCCGATACCATGAGACAGCGACGAAGCCAGCGCTTGCTCGTTGATCTTCTCAAGGATAGGTTGAATCTCAGATACTTCAACGTTGAGGAAGCGATCCTCGTCTTCGTCAGCTATGCAAGCGTTGAGGAGGTCAGCAGCGGAGTTTCTGGCTTGCTTCCTGTTCGGGACGAAAACCATGGCCGGCTTGTCTGGAGACATTTGTGTGATGGCAGAGTAGGTCGGCCTCGCCATAGCCATCATCAAGGATGGGAAATGGGGGATCGTGAACGACTGAATCTTCAACTCAAGCGGTACTGCTCGGATAGCCGGGCTGAAGTTGTAGATGGTGTGTTTGGTTGCACCGATCCATTCGCCAATATCTCGTGCGTTTGACAACGACACGCTCAATCCAACGATGCGCAGCTTCGACTCTAGTTGCGTTGCCATTGCTTGCATACGGGAGACAACAATCTCGTAGACATGACCGTTTGTGCCACCAAGCATGTGCAGCTCATCGGCGATCAATAGAGAGACGGACTGGACGTTCTTCCGGCGCTGCCATTGACGGGAGAGTGAGTCCCACTGCGAAGGAGTGGCAAGAATGAGATCACCCCTCTCAAGCAATCGCAGGTCTGCCGTAGTCTCACCAGTGAGCTTGACAACGTCCTTTCCTCCACTGAGACCGGTCAACCGCTCATTCCAGTTCTTGTACTGGTTGTCGACGAGCTCTTGGAATGGTGCTAGGTAGACAATGCGGCCTTCGTTGTTGGTAGCCCAGTGTCGCAAAATGGCAAACTCAGCGCAGATGGTCTTGCCAATGCCTGCTGATGCGCCAATGAGAGCATTGTCATCTGTGGTATACAAGGTGTTGAAAGTCTGTGTCTGGACCTTGTTGAAGCGACCGATGTTCTCATACAAGCCCATGTATTCCTTCCTCTTTAGGGCAGAAACAGGCAGAGGTTGCAGATCCAGAACAGGAGTGTGGGCAGGGAATCTCGCTGGCAGAATAAGTTTCTGGAAAGAGACAGCGAGCTTGGTCTCAGATGCCATCCATCGGTCGGAGAGAACGGTGATGAAGTAGTTCGGTGGCATGGGCTCATCGATGGGCACAGTCATCTCCAGCAGATGTTCGTTGGCGTCGCCATCGGAGTAGTCCCTTCGGAGGATGAAGGTGTCGTGGAACAACACCTGCTCACCGTCACAGTCCTCGACCAAGATCCAGAATGCCTCTGAGGCTCCGTGCAGCTCGGTGTCCCAAACGAAGTCAGGTCGTATTGTCAGCTCCAGACGGAGTAGTGACCTTGTAACTGGCCTGGGTGTCGCTTCGATCTGGAGGCGCGGGAACTTCTCCACCAGACCACAGACAAGTTTACCAGCCTTGGGCATACCCAACAGCTCACCCATGCTTGGCGGGTCGAGGCCGAAGTAGCTCGACCAGCCAACGTCAATTCGCTCAGCCTTTTGCACAATGTCGCGGGGGCACGTGGGGAATTGGCGCAGAGGGGTCATGGTTGGCCACATACGCTTCTCAGCCATCTTGCACATGTCGAGAGCCAGCTTAGCGACTTGCGACCAACCCTTCTTGAGACAGATCTCAAAGATGGCGCGAAGAATACGTCCAGCGGATTGCGTAACGTAGACCAAGTCAGCCATCAGCGCCAATCCTTCCAGCTTGAGGCGAGAGATATAAGCTTGGAGCAAGACGTTGATCTTGGCTTGGGCTTCCTCGAAGCTCTCCTTGACTGGAATCGGGACCTTTCCTAGTAGCTTCGCAAGCTCAAGCTTCTCATCTTGACGGACCGGGATGTACTTGAACTCTTCACTAAGTGCGAAGACACGGAAGAGCTCGATAGCGCTGATACCGGGCTGGATATGCATGTTGTACGTCGCCATGGAGTTGTGGGTGATGTAGTAGTGGGAGGCAATTCTTCCAAGCTCTGTGGGGTTGAGCATACCGGTCTTCCTATCGTACTTAATCAGACTGCATTTCTCCAGTACATGTGCAGCGGCGTGAACAAGGTCAACACGTCTTTGCTCCAGCACAGTATCATTCTCGTATTCTGGTCCGACTCGGTAGAGAGCGGGCGAACGGAGCATTCGGACGAAGAGGTACGTGTAGCCGAGCCAGTCAACCGCTTCGTCTCTGTTGCGCACGTTACCCAGAACAATCTCAGCGTTGAGGTTATCTGCAAGCTTGCTGATGAGCTGCGACTCGATAGGCAACTGTTGGTTGAGCAAGGATAGGTAGTACTGAATCTCAGACTGTGTGGTGATGATGATACCCTCTCCGTAAGTATCGTATTGAGGTCGACCGGCACGACCCAACATCTGCAGGACATCCTGAGGGCTAAGTTCGACCCAGCTACCCTTTTCGGGGGAGTAGATCTGCGTTCCCTTGATAATGACGGTATGCGCGGGCAAGTTGACACCCCAAGCCAGTGTTGCTGTGCACACAAGGACTTGGATAGAGCCATCGGCGAACAGATCCTCCACGGAAGTACGATCCGCTCGCGACATACCAGCGTGATGGATACCGAAACCATAAGGCATGACGTCCTTTAGATCCGCGTTTTGAACCGACTCAGATTCTTCTCTCAAGATCTCCCGACTGGCAGCATCTGACCGAAGAATCTTGCCTATTGACTCTTCCTCAAGTGCCTTGTCACGGATGTACTTCGCGGTCTTGGCGGTTTCCTTTCGAGAATGCACGAAGATAAGCATCTGATTGCGATGTTCGCCAACCTGTTCCAAAACCTTGGTATAGCAAACGTCGTTCATCGTCTTCAGCTGTTTGATGGCCTTCTTGTCTGTAACACCAATGAACTCCTGCTTCAACGGACACGGTCGGAAAGTAGCGTCAAAGTGGAAGAGGCCCTTGTCTGGGTCGATACGCAGGAAGCTTGCAACGTCGCGGTAGTTGGGAAGAGTGGCACTCAATCCGACAATGCGCACATGATCACCAGTTTGCTCGCTGCGTCGCAGAGTTCTGCTGACGATACTCTCGATGACTGGACCACGATCGTCGTGGAGAAGATGAATCTCATCAATACAGATGA